ATTTTTTTGTTAAGCATAGCTAGTGAAAACATTGGGCGATTGTGTACACTGCACGGTATAGCTGAGTCTTGAACACAAAAACAACGGCTAACTTAACACAGAACCAAAATTTAACAGTGAATACTATTCGACCTAAATATAATTTTTAGCAAAAAAAAAAAATATGTTAAATTCAATTTTCTTATACTTTTGATAAACATCACAAAGGCATAGCTCTGGGTAACATTTTTAAATTTGACAAAATTCTCAGGGAGTTCTAAGAGTTTTTAAATGGCCTGAAGTTTCCTAGAGCTCCCCCTCTCTCCAATTTAAGGAGCTGATAGGTAGTTTTTTAGGAAAATATTTTAAAGGGGACGCCTGAAATTTGCTCGCTTCGCTCCGTTATAATACAGCCCTTAACATAAAAATTTAAAAATAAATATGAGAAACGTTAACATTTTTAATAATACAAATCAACTAGTTTATAAAAAAAATTTAACAATATTGATACCATTTTACTTTTATTAGCCACCTTATCGATTTTTTCATCCGAGTCTACACCGATTAAAAACCCTTTCTCGATATACATGACCCTACGACTCTCTAATAAATGACGAGGTGCTCCTTTGCATGGTTTTTACATATCTCAGTTTTGGGAACCATGATCATATCTTACTTGATTGTAGCGGTGCAACTAGATCTTCAGGTGTACTAGTGTAAAATAAAATTTTATGTCCTTATGACCTTGCCACTTTGAATTTATATCACTGTTTTTGGAAAATTACCATTCAGACAATCGATTTCACATTACTTCTCTAAATTTAATTTTTATCTAGGTCCTAGGCTTACAAAAATATTTGAAGGCGCCGTCTGAGAGAATGGGGGTGCTATGCTTTTTAGATAGTACAAGGGAAAATTAGATATTTTTATTAATTGTTGTATCATTTTTTTTTTAAATTCATACAATTAAAATAAAGAAATATATTCAAACCAGTTCCCATCATTACACTTTTTTGCATTTTCTTATAACTTGTATTCAACTTTTATGACAATTTATACAGTAATAAGTCTAAAATTATAAGCTGATTAAAAGTGAGACCTGATATTAATTCGTAATTACCGACCCCAAAAACATATAATTTGGCCACTTTTGATGTTTTTTACACAAAAATCCAGAAATTTTTTTTAGCTTCGATGCAGAGTTTACACTGCTTAAAGCATGAAAAAACTCTTAATAATAAAACAAAATTTGTTTTTGTTTAATTTTTTATGCAACCTCGGCGGACCTAACCTCAAATGTTTAAATAACTTAATCAATTATTTTAGGCGCAAATTCACCTTCATATTTGTGTTTTTTTTTTATACATAAGTTTAGGGTGTATTGGGCCATTATATATTATGTATACATTTTGTGGTGATTAAACTGGTAAGATTTTAATACATGTACTTAAAGTTCATACTTAAATGTCACACATTTGGTATGTTCAAAATATCAGTTCTTTAAATTCGCTAATCAAAAAAAAAACTGTGTTAAAAAAATGTATAAAATTATACTAAAAATAAAACCTAATAATACAGTTTGGTGGAAAGAGGTGGAAAAGGGCAACAGATCTAAAGTAAAAAATAAAAGTTATAAATAACGACAATGATTGATGAAAATGAGTGTTGAACACCAAATAAGAGAAATAAAAAGAAAAAGGAAGGTGGTTAATAAATGATATTGAGATGTACGCAAGAACTGACTTGATTTGACAGAACAATGAAAGACTATTTAAAACATTATTGTTATAGTAAAGATAGAGTTCGTTGAAATTGATGTTCTTATTCTATTAAATTTAACTAAATTTAATTAAATTGAATCTAAGTTTTGGATTGTAAGTAGCAAAATTATATTTCAAAAACATTTGTACGATGAATTTGTCACCATGCATAGGTAAAAATCTGGTAAAAAATTGTTGTGTGACCTATTTTTTTGCTGTAGATATTTACCGACAAAGCGTTAATACACTTGTTGTATATTTACACCGTAAAACATGTTATTTTTTGCATCTGATTCAATTTTTTAATAATTGCTTAAGTGTTTTTAACACAACATTTTAATACAGATTAGTCATATAATGTATGCCTACTCGCAGAAAAAAAAAATATATTTTCTGATAAATTGACTCGTTCCTTTTATTTAAAATAATATTATGGTACTAAGTGTAGGTTTCTTTGGTAAACAAAAAATATTCAATATAAACAAATTTTCTCGACAACAAAAATGTCGATGTATAAGGCAAATCATCGTTAGAAGGATATCTTTGTGAAAAACTTGTCAAAAAGTGCATTATATATTACACCATTGAGATTAACTACTAATGTCAATAAGACAATTTTCTGATGGTTGTCTAGCCTATGACAGAAATTGAGGATTTTCACCTGAGTTTGTGAATAAATAAAATAAAATAAATGTATAATTTGTCTGTAAAATAAACTGGAACATGATGTCCATTTATTATGAAAATTCGTAAGGTCCGTGACAATACTTTTTTTCCGTATATCTACGGTCCGTGACAATATTTTTCTTGACTTTACGGCTTCCCCATAGAATCGTCCTGTTCCTTTTATCGCCAACCATTCGCTCGAGTACCGTGGTTACCATGATTACAAACCAATTGTTTATTTTGGGTTAACAACGAAAAACATTTTGTATTTAAAGTAGAAAATTCGTGTTTGAGGCCACCCTTAGGGGTGGAATTTTCGAAAAGTACTATGCCAGTTACCTCCGCAGGAGTGTACTAAATAACTTCCCTAAGATTTATGGCGATCAGATGAATGGAAAAGGACACACACACATACATTCTTTTGTATATATAAATATAGATAATTTATAATATCGAAATCTTGTTGTTTTACATTTATAACGTATATTAGAAAAAATTTTCAATGTCCAATAATATTAAGTATAAAAAGCTAGTACAGTGGGGTTGGGGCATAGCGGTACTTGTTTTTATTTTGCGAACAACTGTTTTACAGGTGACTAGTAATCTTAGACATAAGTACACCAACAAAACAGTATTTTACAAGTTGGATATTTCAAAACGTGGTTTGATACTTTGTATTATAGCGAATCGGTATCGTTCTAAAAAGTTCATCCCTAGAAAAAAAAAAAACTTAAGCACTTATGGTTATATATAATAAAATAGTAATAAAAACCCTTAACCATAAAAATTATATACTCTCCGCGAATACGTCGTATTTCGGCAACAGTGCTGTCATCTTTAGCGCTCACGGCAGACTGAGACCGATTACGAGCGAACATCTACCTCTATACCTATACAGCGTCGTCATACCGGAAATGATGACTCATATTCAACACGTTTTATAAATTTTAATAAAGTGTTTTGTAATGGACTTAAGTCCCAGTTAACTAATTTTTCCAGGAGATTTGTGTACTTCCTGGTTTTTAATGTTCCTTATGTGTTTAAACCTAACCCCAATATTTCGTTTTGTCTGACCTAAATAGCATTTATCGCATTCTTCACATTGTATTTTATAAATCCTGGATTTTTCCTTTTCCCCTATTTTATCTTTGGTACTACCTAATAAAGATTTTAAGTTATCACTTTTTGATGCAACTAGAGTTATCCCGTAATTTTTAAAAATGTTTGTTAACCCCCTTGAAATACCTGGAAAATAAACTATACCCGATCCTATAATTTTTTCATTGTCCCTCCTACTAAGCGTACTGGCTGTTCTAACTTCCCTTGACCATTTATGCTTGTTAACTAATCTAAAAATCATATTTGCATCATACTTATTAAATTTAGCTATTTCAGTTATTAAATTAAGTTCTTTATCAAAATCATTTTTTAACATAGGAATGTTGACTAACCTGAAAACCATACTATTAAATGCCGTCATTTAATGTTGCCAACTGTTAGGTTGTTAACTAGTTCGATGTTGTTCTTAACTGAAAAACTATCAAATTTCTTTAAAGATGAAAAAACTTGAACTAAATATTTAGATAAATTATAACTTGGAGCATTGATGTTTGATACAATAGATCTCATAGTGTTTCCTGGTTTGTGAATTTTTGGTAAACCATATAATTTTGGCAATTGAGGATTTGAAACTCTGATAAAAACCTATTTTTTTTCCTCAATTACAAGTTTTGAATTATTAATTACGTTGGTACCTTCTCTAATTATTTTACTTAAGGGATTCTTTCCCTTAAGATTTCTTTATGGGCCTTCATTAATCATTTTTGAAACTCAAAAACTATCAATTTTTAGGGAAGTTCATACCTACTCATTGAAAATCAAGAAAAAAAATTAATTTATTGTACATTTTAAACTTACGGCGAGCAGTTTCCATATAAAAGTTTGTCTGTACAAATATTAAAGTAAGAGAGACGTAATTTGGCACAAGTGCGAATCTTCGCACGCGTTTTTCATTATTTACATCAAACACTGCCTTGCAGTTTTGTTTGTATATTAAAAAGACCGAAAAACTGATAAATTAAATAAGTTATAATTAGGTAATGCTCCAATAATATTTTCTACATAGTACTAGGGAAACCAGGTCACTAAATACACAACCAACATGATAATACTATCCAACACAATAAATTGATTAGCATGACACTTAACTAATCTATTGCTCGTAAAAAAAGCCGTCAAATCAATTAATTCAAGATCGTTTAACAACTCAAAGTTCTGGCCTTTGTTTTAGATTATACACAATTAACATTAAGGCACTTTGTTATAAATTATTGCAGGAAATGATTAGTCAATTCTAATTAATTATAGCACATCATTATATAATTTACGTTATTCGAGTTTTATTATTTCAATACAGTTAGAGTTATTTTAAATTTCAATATTTGTAACCGTTAAAACAGTTTTTGTAAAACCACTGTAAAATTAAAAAAAAAAAAATACGATTCCGACGAATTATATATTTTTATTATTTAGGAGTAGTGTGTAGAATAAAATAATCTAAACTCCGCTTCCTAAGTAACGCATGTACACGATAAATCGCAAATAAAAATTGGATCTGTTGTATAAATAAATGAACATAGTTACACTACAAAAGCCTATTAGAATTGTGTTTTTTTGGTCGAAGTATAAGCCCAACCATAAAGCGCAAGCAGTACATTTAGTTTCAAAAGCTGAATAAGTCGATTGTTGTCCAAGAACCTCTTACCAACTCCCCAATTTAAGTAAGTATTTCTATTAAAATCTAAAATGTTTAATTATGTAGTGTTAAAAAACAGTAATAAGGAAACTGTACACATATATGTGTACAGTTTTTTTTAATCGTTAAAAATAAAATTTCAAAATTAAAAATAATTTTTTTTTACTTTGACTTAAATTTAAATGGATGTTACTATGAATGCATTTATTTATTTATAGTCGTTACACTATAGTAACCCGGGGTCTGATAAGGTTAAGTGAAGAAAAAGTCAATGTTTTAAAGAAAACTCAAATATTCCCTTTAAAAACTAAGTTAAAATTAAGAGAAATTTTTTTTTCATGTTTTTAAGTTTTTAATTTTAACGATTTTAAAACAAAACTTTAAAATCAATTTTGTACACATAAAATCTATATCATTTTGCTGAATATTCCTTTATTGACTTGGACGAAATCTCTCTATACATAAAATTCTCGTGTCACAGTGTTTGTATAAGAAAACGATTTATAAAATTTCATCATTTCAATACATCATAGTATATTATTTGAAAACATATGTTAATATTTTTTATAACGGTAATAACTATATGTGTAAGGATCTTATTTTAAAACGGATTTGACATTTTTTCTAAAATGTTATCTTCGGTGTAAGTCTACTTTACCGGACACCCTTTTTTAAATTTTTTTTTTTAATTAATAGTATTTTGCATACTGAATACGAATATGTAAATATTTTGCCCCGCTCGCACTTAGTTAAGAAGTTACAGACTTTTAAAGTTGGCCGATATCGACATACGCGCTCGCCCGGCACCGCACGTCTACCCGCGCCCGCTGGGTACTTGGTCCTCGATTATGATCGGATTCCTCGTCAACCTGCTTCCAACTTTAAAAGTCTGTAACTTCCAAACTAATTTCGAGTGGGGCTTGTTCCCCTAATTTCTATTTTGAATAGTGTAACCTAAGTTTTATACTATGCAATTTAAATAGTCAAAAGACTTATTTTTATTTTTGTCAATCCTTAGTATAGTGAAATTACTGTATAATTGGCCAAATAATCAACCTTTCTAGTTTGATTACTATCTTATATACAAAAAAATCAGTTAGTGGTTTTGGAAATATTGTGGGCCAGGTAGAAAAGTGTTAATACATATATATGTATTCATAACCCATTAAAACGGCCTCGCAAAATTATAACCTTCTCATCTCTAAACCGGAGGTAACTGTGACTAATATATAATGTTTTTTTATTTATTATTATTCGCAGATAAAAATGAAACTCTTCTGTTTATTAATATCTTTATTCTTTATGGAAGTTTTGGCACCTTATGGTAGTTATTTTATTATCACAGTTATAAACTTAAAGAAGTTAAATTTGAAAAAAATCAATATTACACTTTTTTACAGATCGTTATATGGAATTAGTTCACATTACAAGTCAGTAACATTTTTATTTTTAAAACAAATGTTTTATAAGTTTTTAAAATTTACTGTTTTTATACATATTTTTAAAATTGTGTCACAGCTATTGGCATCAAACTTGCTTATGAAAAGAATGATTTAACTATAGGAGGTAGATCTGAAGCAAGTAAGATGTAATATTTTAAATAATATGCTAATATATAAAAAAGCTTTGTATTTGATTTAATTTTAATATTTTTGTATAGCATAAATCTTCATTTGTTTATTCTAGATGGATTGGAGTATCTAATAGAGACAATGGTTGATAATGTCAATAATGACCTGACCTACCAAAATTTCCGTAATCATAGTTATAATAATAATAAAAAATATCAAGATAACAGTAGAAAAATATATTTGAAAATTATATAAAAACTTCATCTCATGTTCACTTTATGCAACTGATTAGTTTTATAATTATTATATTTTTTACCGAATTTTGAATAGAAGCTTTATGAAAAAATACTGATGTAAGCTCTATCAACCTCGTTTGATTAATATATTTTATTCTCATCGCATAAAATACATCAACTAGTCTATATAATATAGTTTTTCTACTTTGACTTTTGCCTTATAATTTATATATAAATAATGTTATAACTACTAATTCACTATAGCAAATTCAATTCAATATTATTTATTAATTAAAATTTCAGGCCATATTAATTTTTTGACAGCTGTACCGGGTAATAGATTTTGTTAAATTTGATAAAATTATTTCTAATATTTCATTCCTATTGAATTCGCCAAAGAGACATCATCGTATTGAATATACAGTGAAACATACTTCTTCCAAATTACTAGCACACATGTTTTTTCTTCCTTGAAATTCAACATCCTGTTTATAATAGTATAGAAAGTTCAATGCAATTACATTAATTTTTGTGTTGTTAATTTCAGATCATCCACAAATTCTCATGAGAAGAACAGGTAATACATTTCATTGCACTTTATGGAAGCGTTTCCAAACAGTTTTTTAATATTCTTTATGCACACGAGATTTTTGTATTAATTTCTGAACTTCCAGTTCACCTAATGCAAAATAAAATCCTTTTTTCATATATTTTATATTTATTATACTTATTGCATATTTATTATTTATAATTACTTTGAGAATAATAATATGTCCTATTGACAAATACCAATATGATATATCGGTCTCAATAATAAAATATATGGGGGTACATTAAAATGTATTTTGTTTTAAATTTTAGAAGTCTATGATGATTTATTCGACAAAATGATTCAAGACATAGAGAGTAAATTAGGTAAATATAAAAAAGAATGTATTTTTAAATAAAAAAAAAAACTATATATGTTTTATGTTTAAGATTTTAAAAAATCATTAGAAATAAAATTTAAACCGTTTGTTTAAAAATCGTTATACAATATAAATTTACATTTATACAATAATACTGCGCATTAATTAATATTGATCTAATTGACCTAGTGGATGTTATGTATAAAATATATAAACCGGGACTTATTAACAGCAGAATAATTTGATGTTTGATGTGTTTGTTACAGGAATTGATATGCCAGGAGATTATTTCGGTGGTATGTACGATTGGTCTGATATTCATAAATAGCCTTTAAAAATTGTTTTAGAGTTGATCTTTGCTTAATTTTATTTATTATATTTTTTGTGTCAAAAAAGAATTGTAATAAATACAACTTTTTGTTGGGGAAAGAGGGACAAAAAGTGAGACTACAGTGTTAATGTGTAATAAATTCTCCGGGATTTGAAGTATAGAAAAAGTACATTTGTTGAGGTTCAACAATAATATGTGGTTGTACAAAAAGTTAGTTGTATCACAATTATGCGAATAATATATTATTTATCTTAATTATGTCTACTCAACACGGTCTTTTAATAATTATTGTCATAGATAAGAAAACATTGATAAACCTTGCAAACATGAGAAGAGACTTTGTTGCTTGGTCTTTAAAAAGTATAATCAGACGTCGTATGCTAGGTAAATATTATTATGGAGTTGTATGGTTTTTGAACGCTATTAACATATTTTTATATATTTAAGTTATTTGATAGGACAAGGATACAAATAATTTTAGATTTTAACAATTACCTAAATAAATTAAAACTACTAACACGTACTTTCATTTAATACAAATATCATGGCTGTTCAATACGAAACCATGCCTATTGTATTATATTTTTATGACTTCGTATAACCTAAAAAAATAGTTGTTTTTTGTACCATAAGGATAAGTAGTAACTAGTAAGCTAATATTAGCAAATTAAAAAAGAAATGTTTCAAATTTTTAATCAGGATCTGAGCAGGATGTGATATCGT